AAGGCCTCGACTGATCTTCAGAACTACAATCACCCAACAACCGAATTAGTCTATTATATTAGTGTATATTTGAAAGCCCCGAATGGTCTTAATAATAAACTACCATTATTCGATGAGGATATAAAAGATCTGATAACTCATATGGAAAACATGATGAAGACATTGCTGGAAACCCCGAATCATCCTCACAATACGAAGAGAAGTCTGCAGAAGCAGGTTGACGTGGATACGTTTGTAGTGATGTTGGGAACAGCAAAAGTCAATTATTTCAAGTTGAACAGAACGCTGCGAATGGTGAGGTGTTACGTGAGTAATTTATTGGCGGATCATGAACTGCTTGCGGAGAGGTTACAAGAGGCGCACTATTACGTATGCGGATTAAGCGATTCTTTTTTAATGGAAGCACGGGAAGAGGATGATCGTTTCATCCAGGAGATCTTCGGTAAATCGACGCCTGATATTCAGAACATTCTGAGGCATTCGCTTTTGGATGTTATGAAAAAGAGAGGAATGCCGAATCTACTGGAAAGCAAACGCGAGACGATCGAACTCTCAAAGCAGATCGAGGCTTTGATGAATCATTTGAAGCTGATCAATGATTTGCTGACGTGGTTCATGGATTTGAGGGTGTCTGAAAAGTTGACGACCATTCGGAGTGTTGATGAGAATTTGCACGTTATGAAGCAGAAGATACACGATCATCTGAAGAAGTCGGAGACATCTCCGTACACGGATGATATGTTTTGAAAAAAAAAGTTCATTTATTAGTATTATTGTGCTTTACGAAGTTTTGTAAAGATTTGTATCTGAACTTTTATAATTAACTGAAATTATTCGAACAAAATAAATAATTTCATATGTATTTCAAAATTTTCAATTTTTTATATAGAAATCAAACAAATAACTGTCCTTTTTTATTTCAAACGTTGCCATGACAATTGTATAGACTCAGGGGTGGACAAATGCTGCTCTTAGAGCCACATGCGGCTCTTTTGAGAGGAAATTGTGGCTCTCAGCTTTCACATTGGAATATTCATTTAGTTGTCTTATTGTGCTTTACGTAAATGGGTCTAAAGTTCAATACTTTTTGTTTTATTATATAATTTAAATTCAGTTTAAGTTATATAAAATTGATATAAAAACGCAATAATATTAATGAACTTCTTACATAATCAATTTTACTTATGATAAAACATGGAATTGCTTCATTTTTTTGTTTATATCAAATCTGAGTCAAAATTTTCAGAAACATAATTGATTTGTAATGGTTTTAAGAAGATTTACTTACTGGTGTGATTATAAATATGTTAACTTTTGTTTGTTTCTTTGGTATATAAAAAAAATTGGTAATAATGATTTTGAAAATATTTACAAAATCTACTACAATTTAAAAAAAAAATAAAGGATAAATCCTTAATTACGATTTATATCTAAACTTTCATAATTAACTGAAATCATTTGAAGAAATTTTGTTTAAAAATCATGAAAAAATGTTTTTTTTTTGTAATTTTGAAGATAATTTCATATACTTCATATATTTGAATATTTTCAATTTTTTTTATATACAAATCAAACAGATATACAGTAATGATTTTAGTTATGTGTGTGTGTGTGTGTGCAAAATTAAAGAAAATTATGAATTTATCTACAAAAATCACAAGCAAATATATTTTTTGTAAAAAAAATAATTGATTATTGAAAAATTATTCTTTAGTATGTTTATCATTGATGAAAATTTACTTTTTGTCTGGTTTTTATATAATAATTTGAAATATATTTGAAATTAACTACAAAATTACGAAAATTAAAGTTTATTTTTGATACCAGAAATTCTTTCTTGTTAAATTATAAATCATGAAATATTTGAAAAACAATTAGTTAAATGAAAATTTACATTGATTTATATATTTTTTAAATAATTTATGTTTAAATTTTTTGAAAAATATTGAATATGAAAATATGTTGAAAACTATTACAGTTTTTTAAAAATACATGAATACCTCGCAATACGGTTAAACGATTCAGCCAATAACTCGCACTGTTTGAAACCGACCTAATTAAGATGTAAACAGCACAAAATATTTTATGTACTAATTTATTTGTATTTTTCTCAAAGAAAATTTGGTTTCTTTTGAAATTTTCATATCCGGACTGATCGAAGCTGCACTATTCGAGATATATATTGAGTGACAAATTTTTATGCACAAATACATTATTTGATTATATAAATCAAATTTTTATTATATTTTTTCATAACCGAATTAGTCAGAATTTTGCACTAAAATTGTAAAAGAAATTTGAGTGTTGTAGATTTTTTATTTAAATTTCCCGCTTTTTTTTTGCAAAATTAAGATGCGTCCTAATCTTAATTTAGCAAAAAAAGCGGGAAATTTAAATAAAAAATCTACAACACTCAAATTTCCAAGACTCAAAATTTTCGTTAAAGCATGCACTTATATTATACTTGAGAAATACTGTATTTATTTAACAGTAATTTAACATATTGAAGAAAATACGAAAAGAAATTATGTATTAATATGTTCATTTTTCTCAAAATATTTTCTCAAAACGTCGCATCCCCTCTAACTAAACCGTATGTTCTCGTTTCTTAAAACGCAAAGATGAAAAAAAAACGTTTGACTTGTATAGAAAAGGGTGAAAAGAAAAGAGCTCGTTCAATAATTAAGTAGCAAATAAGGGTGCGGGTTTTTTGCTATGGAAAATTCTTTACAAAAATGAAAAACAAATCACAACTCTGACATTATTCTACTTGTGGTTTTCTTTCCTTTCTTCTGTCAAACCACGTACATAAATATGAACTCGTGCTGCCTTTTCGTATGGATTACTCGAAATATCCTTGTAGAAAATAAAGCTTTGCATAAATATTGGCCTTCCACACAGCAAGCATTTCGGATTGCATTTTTATTTCCGCCAGATCTGCTGAAATCTTTTGCAGAAAGCCCCGCTTTATAAAATACATATTACATAAGATTTGGTTTGCATTGTTTTCTTTTTTTTTTGTTAATAATACCTTAAAAACTATACATGGATAAATTGATTTGATATTAAAAAATATTGATAATAATTGCAAAATTTTGTATATGAGTGAAAATTTTACGAGTTCGTGCAGAAATAACTATTACTTCGGTTAATGTTACAAAATATGAGTAGAAACTATACTAGAAGAAGAAATTATAAATGAATTTATACAGATTTAACCTCAATTAATAGGTATAAAAAATTGTCGATGAAGAAGATGTTACACATTTAATTAAGGCAGAAGATAATGATTTTTCTGTGCAAGATTTAGAAAACTTTTGTTAACACCAAAAACAAAGAAATTGAAAGCTAAATTAAAGAAGTTCATACCAATATAGTCTTAAGAACCAAAAAGGTACTTAAATGACCTTGAAAACGTTGAAAATTAGGAAAAAGTATCAATTGTTAAGCGACCAGTGTAAAATTTTAAATGCAATAACTCTGTAGAGATAATCAACTTTAAAATGTGATTTTACTTTATATGTAAGATTTTTTATATCTAATAAAATTTGTTTTTGTTCGAAAAAATGATTTTCATTTTATTTATTTGTATTCTGGCCAAAGTATTTTTTTCCTCTGCAAACGAAGATTTACTTAACGAAGTAATTTTGTGGAACGAATCCTATTCGCTAATCGAGGTACGACTTACTATTTATGGAAATTTCCAATATTTTTACTTTCCTGTAATTCTTAGTAAATTTCGTAAATATTTCAGTTTAAGACTAATATTTGATTAGTCCAAATGGAAGAAAACAATAAATTGTTGAAAAATACGTTACTCTTTTGTTTCAAGCGTTGCCATGACAATTCAGTGTGGGTGTATAATGTCAATAATAGGGGTGGACAAATTACAACAAAAAAGGCATATAAAAATTAACTTTCGTCTCAAATTTGAAAACAAAATTTTGCTCAACGAAGTAATTTCGAGGCACGACTGTAATTTCATTATGAAAACTTTCAATATTTTAACATTCCTGTAATTCTTATTAAATTTCGTATATATTTTAGTTTAAATCTAATAATTGATTGGTCCAAATGGAAAAATAATAAATTGTTGAAAAATACTTTACTTTTTTGTTTCAAGCATTGTCATGACTATTTAAACAAATGTAGACAAATTACAACAGAATAAAATGCACAAAAAATTAACTTGAAACTCAAAACTTAAAATTGAATTATCAATTTATTTATCCACATTTTGGACAAAGTATTTTTACCTTTGAAAACCAAGTTTCGCTTAACGAAATAATTTCGAGGTACGACTGTAATTTCATTATAGAAATTTTTAATATTTTAACATTCCTTTAATTCTTAGTAAATTTCGTACATATTTCATTTTAAAACTAATTTTTTATTGGTGCAAATGGAAAAAACAATAAATTGTTAAAAAATACTTTACTCTTATGTTTCCATCGTTGCCATGACAATTCAATGTGGTTTGTAAAAGGTTTATAATAGGGGTGGACAAATTACAACAGAAAAAATGAACTATCGAAAAACTTTATGTGTTATAAATTTTGGACAAAGTATTTTTACTTTTGAAAATGAAGTTTTGCTTAATGAAGTTATTTAGAGGTATGACTAACATTTGGTTTGGTACATATATTTAAATTGTTAAAAAAAATTACTTTACTGTTTCAATCATTGCCATGACAATTATATAGAGTCAATACCAAAGGTGGATAAATTCTGTTCTTAAAACCGCATGCGGCTCTTTTGAGAAGATATTGCGGCTCTCAGCTCGCATGTTAAAACATTCATTTAAATAATAAAAATTGAGATTGCAATACTTAGTGCGGCTCCTTACACATTTTTTTAACAGGAATTTGGCTCATTTTTTCAAAAAGGTTGCAGACCCTTCGTCAATAGACTGTTTTAAATAAAAAGAAGTCTACGTGCGCGCACCAAAATACAAACGGACTTAAGTAACAACCCAATACAAAAACTTTAAATATTCTTACCTGCAATTTGGACCATTGTATTCTACCAATGCAACGAACGGAATTCCTCCAGGCAAGTTTCGCACCGTAAATTAATTCGGTTTCGCTTAGCTCGTAACCGCCGGTCGTTTCGATCTCCTTCTCGACCTGCTCGAGCCTAGACATATGCGCTGGGGTGTTTAATCTGCAACAGAAAATGATTTGCAAATAAAATTAGATATGTGTACAACACGCGCACACACACTTCAGATTCGATTGGCCACATTTGTGGCACAGTATAGATTCGATATTTCCCCCCTCAAATACGATATTTCCATTTCGAATCTAACGGCCGAAGAGGTTTATGTAAATGCGATCATATTCTTTTTCATACAATACAGACCTTCCTCGAAACGAAGGAAAGAAAAAAGAAAGTAGGAAATTTCGGTCCGCTGTATTTTCTTAACGAAGTTATGAAGACCCTTTCGTATATTTGTCGCATTGAATTAACGAATTCGTTGAACTTGCTTTGTCATTATTTACACACTTTCCAATTATTATTACATAATTCAACATACGAAAATAAGTAAATTAATATTAATGTACATTACTAATGAATTTAAAAATCATTATTTTTAAACAATTGGATCATTTCATGTTATAAATGATGTTAATTTGAATTGTAAATATTAAACTTTTAATTTTATTAATTATTTATGGATTTAATGTAATGAAAATTTTGCTTTTTCGTGTTGAAATGTATATGAAAGTTCATCCAGTTTATTTTAAGTAATTTGCATTTATTTACATATATAAAATATGTTAGTCCCGCAGAGGATTATCTTTAAATCTGGAGTGGAGAGTACAGCAGGTATACTCCTACCCTTTTTTGGGCTTACATCGTGTTATTTCTTTAATTCTTTGTAAAAATGTTTTCTGAATAAAGTATTTTGTTTCATTAGTTTCAGATGTAAATATGTAAATAATTTGAAATTACATTAAAATAAAATAATACCTTTTGAATGAAAGTACCAATAAATTTTGTACATTTTGTATTTTCGTTGTTAATCCTAAAAGTTTCATTTTACGACTATTTGTTTAAGAACTATAATTTGTGAATCTAAACAATATATATATACATATATATATTGATTACTATTTTTATAGATACTGTTTCTTTCAATTTGAATTCCTATAGTTTCATTTTACGACTATTTTTTAAGAACTATAATTTGTGATTCTAAACAATATAAACATATATTGATTACTAATTTTTATATATACAGCTGGTTTTATTATAAATTTCTTTAGTTTGATTTTACGACTATTTTTCTAAGAATTATAATTTGAGAATCTAAACAATGCTAATACCATAAGTTTTATTTTACAACAAATTTTATAAGTTTTATCATAGCAAAAATATATGATGTTTTATCACGTAATTTGAGGAACTAAATAATAAAAGTAAAATGTAATTAATATTTTTTTACAGATACCGTTCATTTGTAACAAATTCTAAAAGTTTCATTTTACGACTAATTTTTTAAAAATTTGAGAAACTAAAAAATATAAACAAATATTAATTACTATTATTTATAGATACAGTTTTTTTTCATTATGAATTCAGATAGTTTCATTTTCCGACTATTTTTTATTAAATTTCATGTAATTTTCGTTGCTATTATCATAAGTTTCATTTTACAACAAATTTTATAAGTTTTATCAGAGCAAAAATATATGATGTTTTATCATGTAATTTGAGGAACTAAATAATAAAAATAAAATGTAATTAATATTTTGTACAAATACTGTTACAAATTCTAAAAGTTTCATTTTACGACTAATTTTTTAAGAACTATAATTTTAGAAACTAAACAATATAAACAAATATTAAATATTTTTTTTTTTTCATTGTGAATTCAGATGGTTTCATTTTATGACTTTTTTTCCAAATTTCATGTAATTTTTATGATTATACAACTAATTGTCTATAGACATAAGAAATCGTTTCTTAATAAAACTTTAATACAAGAAAACAAATAGAACTTATTTTACATTTGACATGTGGTATATCAATTTTATTTTTCTGTTCTCTCTGTACAAAAAAATCTATATTAAACATTTCTTACATTCATCTTTCTTTATTAAAAACGATAAAGTAAAAAAAGTTATCTTGTTAGAATTCATTTTCTCGGAATACACCACTAAATTTGGGATTTATTCATAATAAACTTATTTTACTATTATTTCATAAATATTGCATAGTTCTTTACTTTTCCAATTTCTTACTTCAATATCATTTTTTTTTAAGTGAAATTATTTTATTTACATGTAAAAATATATCGATTTTTTTACTAATATTATATAAAGTTATTTTATATTAATTTCTTATGAGATTTCTTAAAGTTAATTATTGATTTGTTTTTATTATAATCAACAAATTCATTGGAATTTCTTTTTTATTAATTGAATTATATGATAATAATTGGTAATATATTATAATAAAATCAGCATTAAATCACTTATAACTATTTCATTCCCTCGTTTTTTTTTATCTGCGGATAATTTTTTAAATATTCAAAGCTTTGTGTAAGAAGGAAATGGAAATTTAAAATTTATTAATGAATTTTCGGCAGTTTTAAATTCATTAGTCCCTCTTTTTTTAACATATACTTTTCTCCTATCAACCCACAGTTTTCGTCTCCATCTGCCGCTTCCGCATGCATTCTTATATAAGAAGATTAAAAATGTATTATGCAATTTTTTTCTCTCCTCTCCTTCGTCCGCTCGATTCGGATAGATTCAGCAATCTGTTAAAATCCTCAAGGGATGCGCATCCCCCCAAACCTAGGATAAAAAGTATATATATATACACACAATGTAAGAACTAAACGGAACTAACCTAATATATCCCTGTTACGCTATTATTAAATTTCCTCTCAATCCTGTTTTTTTTTATATATTTTTTTCCTTCCATGTTTCGAACGTAATAAGATTTGTTATAGTTAGGAAGATTCTATCCAAAATTCTATTCACATACGTGTTATGTTATTAAAATATAACAATATCTCGCATAGAGTAGTTAATAGGTTCTGCCGGACTGTTTGAAACCGGACTAATCGAAGACATATAAATAAACAGCAAAAAAAGAGGTTTTGTTTATATAAGAAGAAAACTGTTAATTTTTTTTATAAAAATTGAATCGTACTATTAAATTTTTAAATCGAAATTTTACTATAATGAATCCGCACTGATCGAAGCCGCACTATACGAGGTACTCTTTGTTTATTATTTTTTCTCTTTAAACTTATTTCTATGTAATATAGAATTTTATAGAAAATTACACCTATTTTACAGTTAATTGGTTCTGCCGGACTGGTTGAAACCGAACTAATCGAAGACATAAATAAACAGCATACAAATAAACAGCACAAAAAGAGGTTTTGTTTGTATAAGAAGAAAACTGTTAATTTGTATATACAAATTGAATCGTACTATTAAGTAGTTAAATCAAAACCGTACTATAGTGAATCCGCACTGATCGAAGTCGCACTATGCAAGGTACTCTATCTTTATATTTTTTTCCCTCTTCATCCTTATTTCCATGTAATTTAGAATATTATAGAAATAGACCTATTTTGTATACCTCGCATAGTGCAGTTAAATGGTTCTGCCGGACTGTTTGAAACCGGACTAATCGAATACATATACATAAATAGCATACAAATAAACAGCACAAAAAGAGGTTTTGTTTGTATAAGAAAAGAACTGTTAATTTGTATATAATTATTGAATTGTACTATGAAATCGTTAAATCGAAACCGTACTATAGTGAATCCATACTGATCGAAGCCGTACTATGCAAGATACTCTTTCTTTATACTACTTTTTTTTTCTTTTCATCCTTATTTCCATGTAATTTAGAATATTATAGAAGATTTCACTTATTTTTTATACCTCGCATAGTGCAGTTAATTGGTTCTGCCGGACTTTTTGAAACCGGACAAATCTAAGACATATAAATAAACAGCACAAAAAGAGATTTTGTTTGTATAAGAAAAAAAAACTGTTAATTTGTATATAATAATTGAATTTTGTTTTTTTTCACTTTATCCTTATTTCCATGTTATTTAGAATATTTATAGAGCATTAAATTGGTTATGCAGGACTGTTTGAAACCGTACTAATCGAAGACATATAAATAAACAGCTTACAAATAAACAGCAGAAAAGGGAGGTTTTGCATGTATAAGAGAGAAACACTGTTAACTTATATATACAAAGTTAATGCTGTTTATTTATATGTCTACGAAGCCGCACTATGCGAGGTACTCTAATTTAGAATATTCAAGAAAATTTCACCTATTTCTTTAAAATTATCTATAAAATATTTCTTATTAAAGAAAGAACTATTATTTTTTCCATCAGTTATAATGAAACAAAGACTTTTCGTCTTTTCGGTATCCGTGGCGAAAGGATTATAGAAGGATCAAACGAGTGAAAAGGCTGGATTATTAAAGCGCGTGGAAAATTGATTTATCCGAACGTTTTTTTTTTTGCTCGAGCAGAAGAAAAAAACTAGCTATAGATGGAACAAAAAGGACGAAATCCCAAACCACATATTAATACAGCAAAGTTTGATTTTGTGGAGTAACCGCCAGATTCTCGTTTTAAAGTAATTTTAAACTTTATTTTATCAATATTATTACAGATGAATTCAAATGAATAGTTTTAATTTATTCCATTTTGTATATTTTTTAAATTTATAATAGATTTTTAAGCATGTAACTTTAATTGAAACTTATTTTTTATGATTATTGTTATTAATTATTTATTAAATTAACTACTTTTTAACAGTTTTGTAACTTAATTGTAAGATTATAACAATTTACTTTAAATTTTTCTTTGCCGGAAAACTCGAGCCTCGTCGAAAGTATCGTAAATATAACATTGAATATGTAAACGATAATTCTGTGAAAGGATTTTTACGACTATCGCCCAAGTGGCATATTTATACTCTATATCAGGGTTTCCCAAACATTTTCTGTAACAGAGCACCTTGTGTTTAAGCGCAACAATGTCTGTAAACAGTGGCAAAACTGTGCGCACTGAAGTTGTCTCGGAAGAGTTAAGCATGGAGAAAAGAATATACAGTTAAACCTCGTTTAGCGCTTTAGATGCGTTCCTGAAGACAGAAGGACCAAAA